AGACTACTTCTGTAAGCTTTGTTCTTTGTATCTTTGCTCTCCCATTTAACTGGTTTGATAAAAGACTTCTTAAAGTCTAGATTATTTTTCCATTGTCCTATCTCATCAGTGTTTTGGAGTATAGTAAACATTTACCTGGGATTGGGTTCGAATTGTAAAAGCAATTGTTCCCTGTCCTGCTTGAGTTTAAATACAATTTACTCACCCTATTGAAATGTAGCGCTAACTCTCCTTCTATCCAAAGGTGAATTAATTTTTCACTGAAGTCAATTAATAAGTTATTTCTTCCAGAGCACTGATGTTCTGAAAGAGTTAAGGCCTCCTTTCATCAAAAGTAGAAAGTACAGGAGTGAAAAAGTTCATTTTGTTTTTAAAACAAAAAGTGAAAGAGAAATAATCCAAATCAAGGAAGTGCCCGTTTCCTCCTGCACAACCTTCTTAAGCAGGCCTATTCTTATGCTGCTTTCTTCCTGCAACTTCCTATTTGACAATTCCGTATCTAGCCAAGCAGGAAGACTAGAATTTCCTTAAATTTCTATGACTATACTTTGTGAGTCTGAGTTGTTCTTCGCTGCCACAGTTCAAATGCATGTTGATAAAAAGAGACAAGTTTACAAAATAACAAGGTTTTAACTGACCTGGTTTCTGGTCTGAAAACATGAGGGGGTCACTTAACATTTCTGTGCTTCAATTTCATCAACAAAGAGCAGCAGAGTAGTGGCCATATCCTAGTGTTTGGCAATATTTTAGCCAAGGGTTCTCTTGCAGCTTCCCACAGATGATGGGCTTTAAGGGAGGCTGTATACACGCAGAATTAGTGCACAAACCATACATTACTTTCATCGGATTCTGAAAGGAACTCAAGACCAAAAGAAAAAGGGGGTTAAAAAAAATAAAAGCTGATCTCAGATCTTAGGGTGAGAAAAGGAAGTATGAAAATTCTTACTGGAGGAGTTCCAAATCTAGTTGGGGAGCCAAACCTAATGCACCCAATACAATTAGAGAACCATAAAAGGCAAACATATTAAAAGTGCTTAATTTTTAAGTGTAGCCTGCAAGAGTCCAGAAAAAGGAGATCAATGGCCTAGCAGCAGAGAAGGCTTCCTGAGGAGGTGAGTCTCAACATTCCTCTGTTCTCCTATCTCAGGGTTCTTATCGAGGCATGTTCGTGTTGGCCACGTAGATGACTATTTGTTTCTTCCTTAAACGGTTAGTTATTCCGGTTATAAAGATGAAATTGTGAAAGAGTTTGTAACTATTTCTAACCTTCTATGCTAACAATTTTAACCACTCTCCTTTTAAAGCCTAATAGATAAAACACTGACAACGCTTTTAGGTAATGACCATTAGTGTTACTCAAACTTTATTAGTGCTCTCTCCTTTACATCCTTGCAAATTGACTTTAAAAAATGAAGTTGATTTTCCCTAGCCACCCAATGCCTCTAGACCTCACTGTCTCCACCTAGCCACCACCTTCAGTGAGTACGGGAAGGGAAGACTTATTGCACCATTGCCTGAACAAAAACTATTTTCTAGAATGAAAATTTATGAAAAGAAAATGTATGCCAAAGTATTTAAGAGTTATAACCACTTTTGCATTCTCTGAGCTCCTTCTCCCTTCCATTAGCAGGAATAATTGCAATACCCATACTGCGAAAACATAGCTTTATCTTTTTTAGATGGTATCACTATATTGTCTGCTATATTGTCTGTCATCTTTGTTGCATTTTCTGTTTCACCTTCCTGCTCAGGTACTTATGTACTAAGGATTGACTTCACGGGAAATATACTTAGATATTTGATATTTGAAATGCATATATTTTTAAGTAAAGTGTTTATGTTTCAAAAACTAAATATAAAAACACACTGGTGTTTTGTTACAGTTAGGAGCTTCAGTCTTCAACTTTTTTTCTTAGCCAAAATACTTTTTGTAAATATATGTGTTTGAGAGACTGCTGAATTTATTTCAATAACAACTAAAGTTTACCTTAATATGCATTTAGAAATAGGCACAAATTGAAATGGAATACACATGAATGAATTGAAACTCAAAGTTCTCTTAACCAGAGAACTACCTTGTTAACTGAATAATTATTAGATTTCTGTTTAATCATATAATTTTTGTCCAACTTACTGCCTCAGAGAAAATCATATAGACCAAGAATAAGCAATTATTATGTAATACATGATAAAAATATGTTGATAAACTGAGTAGTAAACAGTGTCAGAGTGTCAGGATTATTTCTGCCTACAAGACTGGCCTGATGATCTGTTCACCATCTTCCTGGTATGAGTCACCTGCTTCTCCTTTTAGGGCATAGGCTCTCAAATGTACATGCACCTTAGAATCACCTGGGGAGCTCTAAAATATACTGATGCCTGGTTTTCAACCCCAGATATTGTGATATAATATTCTAGGATGAAGTTTGGGAACTGGGATTTTTAAAAGCTTCCCAGGTAATTTTAAGGCAGCCAGGTTGAGAACCACTGCTTTAGCCCCTAAGCTGTATCTGCACTGTGACAATGTCTGTTCCAACAGAAAGTAGATAAGAGGCTTTCTAGTGAAGGCAAGAATGTCTCCATTGCAAAGCCTTCTTCCGGCAAATATGTGATATCTAAAAGTATGCCTGATTCCCATACCTCTGTCTTGCACTGATCTTCCTCCTCCATTTATTCATTACACATCTATTATGTGCCAGATGCTGAACAATTTCAGATTCCTGATGACCCACTTAGGTTCTGACCATGCCTCAAACCCCTCTTTGACGCCTGGGAAGTCTGACTTGGAATCAAACACCATGCCCTTAACCCAAGCCTATCTAGTTCACCAGTGTGAGAGATTGAGGCATCCAATGCTAGCAATTACCCCCAAACTAACGCATGAACCTAGATTTACCTGTATTTTATTTTTTTTAGTGAAATGAATGACATTCTATGATGATTTTATGAATATTTTCCCCATTTAAATATTGACAATGTAGATTTAAATACATTTGGAGTTGTTGATTAAAACTATCATGATCCTTTTGTTCTTTTTAAGATAATAGTTATGTTTTCACACAAGTGCTATATACTCGAGATAGAAAACTTTAAAAACTCAGAAAAGTACAAAAAAAGAATTATTTGTAAT